TTCCCTGAGTCTTTCCCACATGTGTGCTTGGTATTTGAGGCGCTGGGTCCTTCCCTACGGTGTCTGATGGGTAACTACACAGCCCAGGGACTGCCTCTGCCCTTTGTGAAAAGGTCCTTACAGCAGGTGAGACCTGAGCTGGAACTGGGTGAGGGCACCAAGGGGCTGTTGGCAGGAGGACATGACTGTCTCTGCAAAGATGATACAGAGGGAGTGCCCAAGGCGTGCTTTTCTTTTTAAGGAAAACAGTAACTATTCCCTTTGGGAGAGAAAATGGTAATTAAAATGCAGAGTGGGAAGTCATCATATTCCCATTAATATAGGGGCTGATCAGATTGTGAAAACCAAGTTTCTTATGCGTTGGCTGGGAATAGCAAAGGAATGGGAAAGCTGGTGAGGCCTCAGAATAGTTAAAATCAGATTTTGCCTCTCCTGCTGAGATTTATCAGAAGTCTGCACGCTTGCCAAGGTGAAGATCTGCTACTCTGATTCCTGTGCCCTTCTAGGGACACTAAGAAAGAAAACTGCTTCCTCTTTCATCCTGTTTTCTGGAAGAGCCTCTTCTCAGAATAGCTGCTTCTTCCTCTAAAGAAGCTCCACTAACACCTGAATAAGTTACACACAAATGTAGTGGCGTTAATCTCCGTGCCCCATGTCACACCCAAGCCTTTTGCTTGATCTATTCCCGTATCTGCTTCAGTTGTAAACTCTCCGAATCTCTTTTCCCCCTCCAGATCAGCACTGGGGCAGTATTTACTTCTGATTCATTCCAGTTTAGCTATTTAAATCTTTCCCCGCGTTTCGCAGTTACCATTTAAGGCTGGTATTTTCCTGGGGCTGATGTTCAGCCCAGAATAGAATTTGATAATACAAAGAATATTTGCCAGCCCTTTATGACTGACTGAGAGTGTTTAAAACACAAATGTGGCTCTCCCAGTAGCCTTTTTGCTGTCACTGATTGCTGTTAGTGACTGTTTCTCCCTGGTAGGTGTTGTTTATCTCTCCTCTGCGACAGGCCAGGCTCTCCCTGCTCCATCATAAGCCGTTCTTCCCCTACATGGCTCTCCTGCGCTGCCTTTAAGCCCTCTCTACACGCACTCATGGTATCTCCCGTCCCCTTGTCTGGATTATGCTGCACCTCCTTTTCTTCCCTTGTATAATGGGACACCCTCCAGTGCCTTGTCACTCTGTAACACGCACCCAGCTTCCATTTGAATGATAATCAGCGGGAAGGTACGGCATTCCATGGACATGCAAATAGGAGAAAGCTCAGCTCTGTGATTGTAGCATCTCCTTGTAGCCCTGTCCTCTTTCCATCTCCCTGGGCTGTGGGTCACCCCCACATCCCCAAGCAGCCCCTTCCCCTTAGTCCAGAGCACTCACTACACAGAAACAACAGACTGCAGGTCTCATCAGTGCTCCCTTCCTTCCACACCAGAAGGCCTATGACTTGCATGCTCATGGTGCCTGACTGCTCCTGCGCAGGAGAGGCGGGGGGGACCGAGGCAGTGCTGATGGGACTCGCTGCTCACCCAGGTGCTGGCAGGGCTGCACTTCCTGCACGAGCGCTGCCGCATCATCCATGCGGACATCAAACCGGAGAACGTCTTGTTGCATGGACATGACAGAAGCCTCCAAAGGATTCTGCCCAATACACTTGATTGCGGCCAAGGAACAGATCTGAGGCTAAAAGGACCAGGTGAGTGCTCCAGGGTCTTAACAAGAGAAAAAGGATTTATGTG